TTATCATTACTTAGTGATTAAGACAGTGAAGTGTTACTGGTGTTATATTAAGAAAATAGCAAAAACTACAATGGACCTGTTTATTTACAGGCACAGAGCATGCATGTCCTGTTTTCTGCAGTGACCAGGTGGGTGTATCTTCATCCAAAACGTCCCTCTTGTTTCCACAGAGCAACTTTTCCTAAGTAAAATACACCTATGTAACTGCAGTTCTAGGCACTATTATAACAAGCATGATAACAGCAAATAGGAAAGGACACCTCACCAATGTGCTTTTGCTAATTTTGCTTATGGAGGCAGATTCTGTGTTATTTAACCCATATTCACATTCCATTAGCAGGAGGCTACTTTAGGGAGAACTAAGGGAGAACTCCAATACCTCAAATATTCTCTCAGTTTTGATAGAAGAGAATTAGACATTGCTAACTGTTACATTGTATTATCCATTTTAATAACGTGAGCTAGAACTACTAAACAAGTGATGATTTTGGCTAACTGAGTAGCTTTAAAGCTCCTGGGTTGTTTTTGGTTTGGTTTGGTTGGGGTTTTTTTGCATCAGTTTATATTTAATCATTTGAATTTCCAAATGAAAGCCTCTTGAGATTGTTGTCACAGGTGGAGTAAGAAAGTGCTGTAACAATTACTTGAACATAACCATTGATGTCAGAACTTGGACGTGCTTTGCAATTGTAATATGGAATTCTGTGATCAATGAGATGTATGTATTGGATCTGGAGGGCCTTGTCCATTAATGTCACGTTCCTTACTCCTCCTGCTTTCTGAATGTCAAAGAACACAAACTGGAAAACTTCAAAACTTGCAATGTCTAAGTCAGTTTAGGTAGCTTTACGTACATAGTGAACCATCTGCACCTTCAATGATTTTTTTTAATGCTGTGCCTTGGGCTGTATGAAAGGCAACATTCTCTGTGTTTTCCCGTTCTTTGAAGTTGAAAAATTCCTGGGTCAAACCAGGCAGAACCATTTAGAGGTAAATGCTCCTCCACTAAATCCAGCTATGAAGGATCTTGATTTGGTGCAATTCTTGTTGTTTTAGTAGAGGGAGAGTTTGGATTGCTAAGCCAAGGCAGAAAGGTGCCACAGTTTGTGTGCTGAAGATCTGCTGTGCATTGAAACACCAAAGCTGCAATTTCTTTGTTAGCTGGTGAAGGAAATGCTGCTTTCAGCCATGGGAAGTCCCAGCTCACCTAGGGTTATTTTATGCTAAACTAAAGATTGGGAAGATTTCCATGTTCCATTAAATTCAGTAGCAGAATTGGTATTATGAAATGAAATTAAGTTTTCGTTTTGAGCTCTAAGAAAGCTGAGTTTTGAAAAGGGGCGAAGGCAGTTGCACAAAGAATAACTTGTCATTGATGTTTTTATTTTTATTTCTTCAGAATTTGCTGTACAATCCTGCAAATCTCATTTGTTAATTATAAAAGGTCTATGCAGATGACAGTCAAATCTGTTAGAGAAGGGGGGCCAGAAAAATTCCTTATTTCCTTCTTAGCTTAAGGTGGAAATGGTATGTTGTATGTACTAAGAAGAAATAATTAATTGAAAATATAGATTAGGACAGCCCACACTTAAAATGTACAAAAGTGAGAGAAGTAATACTTAATCTGATTTAGTATAGTTTTTTTACAAAGCCACAGTTCTTAAAACAATTAGAAAAATATTTTATATATTGAGATACTGGAAGGACATAGTACTGAATTGGCAAGAATTCTTTATTTTTTCTGTAATGAGAATAACAGCAAAAATCCTTGCAAAAGTTACTTTTTAAAAGACAAATATGTTAACAGACATATTAAAGGTTAGCTTACTAGTATTTTCAAGCATTAGTAAACTCTAAACAGAATGTTTGTAGTGAAGGGATCCCCTTAATTTCTGCTAGACTGAAGTGTGTGGATATTCTTTGGATGTTTTATAATGTATTTTCTGGGAGGGTGGAAAAAACATTGGAAAACTGAAGGCTCAAGATATGGTGGTGTGTTCAGCATTTTGAATGATGAGTATTGTTGTTGCCATGATTTGTACCTGCAGATGAACACATCAACTGTTGAAAATAAGATGCAGCTGACCTTTGCAGAAATAAATTTTTTATTATACTATATTTTAGAAGTTAAATATAAAAATAAAATATTTTTGTTCAGTTTCATCCCTTGGACTTTTCTTAATAGTATAAGAAGAAATGGCTTAAAAGTGCAGTAGTTTAGTTCTGCACACTTTGAGTGCAGTTACACATAGCACACAGCCAACCAGACTTGCTAACTGCTGCTCATGCCCTACAGCTGGAAGGGAAACAGCTGTTTTGGGGGGTGTTTATTATAACTAAGCAAGTGTAAAAAATTTTCTAAAACTTCTGTATTGGACAGACTGGATCTGATTTGATTTTATTTTTTAATAAAACTGCCTTAATGTGATTTTATGTAATTATTTTTCCTATGTCCTCTTAGAGGTCATTTCCAACCTCGACAATTCTGTGATTCTAAGCGTGTGAGTAGTGTTAGTAATTCAAAGGAGAATTTGGTAAGTTATTTCTCTGTGTCTGAACTGGACTTCTTTGAGATGCCAACCAGGTTTATGATGAGATTTTACTCAACCAGAAATACTTAGCTATTTATAATCATAATCTAATTTTGCTAGGGAACACAGCATTTCTTACTAATACACATGGAACCTGAGATTACACAAAGGGCCTGGGAGACTGTTATAATGGGTTTTTTCATTTTTTTCTATATCAGAATAAGTAAACCTTTGGAGGCTTCACTCTGCCCTTTATTGGAATCTTGACAATTCCCAACAACTGCAAACCAACTGTAAACTTCATTAGTTTTGACAGCACAGTAAAAATACAGATCAAAACTAAAAGTGGAAGTCACCTTTTTCATGGCTGAGAAATTTTTATTTCTAGCCCAGTTACAGAGAATTAAACTTTTCAAAAGATTAGGTGCCTTCCATAGCAAAAGGGAGAATGAAACACTTGGGGAACAGACTTGTTTTATTTATTTTTTCCATAATTACTAAACTGTGCTTTAAAGAAAACAAAGTTCCCAGAACGATTTTACATCAAGAAAACTAGTACCAGGAGTATTTTCAGGGCAGGTAGCTACTACTTGATAAAAATAACCTATAGTGCAAGTTGTGGAACTATAGTCATGATTTAAAAGTTCTTTTTGGCAACATTTTCTAAGCTTTTTCAGAACGCTGTGGCCACACCCTTTTTAGTAATGCTTTATTTCTCAGGTGATTCAGCCAATGTCAGTGGGTCTGGTTATGAAATCAGATACTAATAATGGGAGTGGGACACACATCAGAGCAGTTGTTTGGTGCGTCACAAGTCAGAATTTTTTTCCTCACAAGTGCACAACAGGTCATATAAAGGCCATAAGCAAGTGTTTTTGTCTTCGTGTTACGTGAGAAATGGGAAGGAACAAGATAAGAAATAGGAAATGGATCCACTTCAGAACAGAGATGGGGCTGGTGGGAGCTGAAGACAGAAGAGAGAATTTCATGTCTTGAGCCATAATGGTGCTTCTTTGAGCAGCCAGTCAAGGGATTTGGTTAGAGACATTATTACTGCAGCTTTTGCCATTTTGCAATAACTTTTGTGATAGAACAGCAGGACACTGGTTGATGTCCCAGAATTCTGTGGCACCACTGCAGCAAGTCATCCACTGATGGAGCTGGGTGGGAAACAGAGGGTGGCATGGCAAGAACTGCAAGAGAAGGAAGAGGTGGGTTTGGGGCAGACAATAAACAATGTGTTTTATTTCCTCTCCAACACCCCCCAGGGACCTCTGAAGTGTGAGTTACCTTGGGGCAGACTCTGCAGGGGCCTGTTTCAGCCCCTTAGCACTCCTTGGTACTACTCCTCTGGAAGTGCATTGCTTGATGGGAACCTGGTTTGCAAGAATGACTCCTTTATAATTTTGATGAAAATCAGGAGTGATTTCATTGCTGTCAGTTACATCATACTTATTTCAAAATAATTAAAAGTGAGAATAGAATTAGACCTACTTGTCTTTAGCAATGTCTAATACAGGGGATGTACCCATAAAGGTCATGAGTCATCAACAGAAAGGAAACTGTCTGCTCTTTATTGTAGCTTTTGCAAACATGCCAAGGTGTGTTTAGGTGTTAGGAAGGAAATCACCATCTCTTTGCAGAACAGTTGGACAACGCTCAGCTACTGAGGGTGGAGTGGGAATAACAGTGGCAGTGGATCAGGAAAGCAGAGCAGGATTCGTATTTCTAAACTTTACCCTCTACTACTTTACCCTGCTACTAATGCAAGAGACCTACCACCTACGTTTCATTTGATTTTGCATATGTTTAAAGTTATGTCATTGTTAGTATTTATTGTTACATTGATCTAGTACATATAGGCTTTGGTCACAGAAAACAAGATTATTAGACACGGTACAAATGCATACTAGATAGTCCCTGATATAAAGTGCTCATGATGTACTTGCTTCCACCTTCACACTGCCATTTTTTTTCCCTGATCAGTAGGACTTTTGAGTCTATTTCCATACTATTTCTTTCGTCCAAAACACACATGCTGTTCCTCCCTGTCCAGTATTTGCCACTACTTTCCCTAGGTTTTTGACCTAGTGGGACCCACTCCTGGTCGCTTGCTGTTAATCTCGTTTGAGGTACTTCGCGTGTAACTGGTGCACTTGGCCATGTTTCCGTCGGTCTGACTTCAGAACTGTTCTGAACACCAACGAGGCTTCCACCACCTTCTCCGGGTGGGACACGAGGGATGTGGGGGAAGCCAGAGTGGAGCGAAGGGGAAGGACAGGGCGCCCATCAGAAGAGTAGCCGGGAATGAGGAGCCGGAGCGGGAGGGGAGGGGAGGGGAGCTGGGCGGGGCGGGCGGCGCGGGGCGGGCGAACACTCACACACTCACACACACACACACACACACACACACGTCCCTCCCTCCGCCCGCCCTGACAGCGCCGGGAGCCCTGGAACCCCCGCGTCCTGCCCACCCTACGCCGCCTTTTCTTGCCCTCGCCGGCGGCTCTGCCGGGGCCGGGCCGGGGCGGCAGCTCCGGGAGCCGCATGCCGGGGGCCGAGCAGGAGCAGGAGGGCGCAAGGTGAGTGCTGCCCCTCGGGGCTGGGCAGGTGGGCGCTGCCCGGCGAACCTGGAGCGGGAGCCGCTCCAGGATTAGCTGGGGGCAGCCGTGGCGGAGCTGACCTGGGGGACCCGCCGCGTCTTGCGGGACCCCGCACGGAGCGGGGGCGGTTCGGGAAGGGACTCCCGCCAGCTCCTGGTACGGGGAACGGGACGCGCCCTCCTCCATCTCCTCTCGCCCCGCTCCGGCGATGCCCCGTGGAGGGGGAGGCACAGGGGGACCGCACCGCCCGAGTTTCGCCCCACCGGGGTCGGTGTGGGGAGGCGGGACCCGCGGGCTCCACTCGGGACCCGCAGCCCTTTGAGGGGCCCCGGTGAGACGGCACCGGGCACTCGACCCGCTCCCTCTCGGGGCTCAACGGGCGATGTGCCTTTATTTGTTTGCATTTTTGAAGGACTTTTAATGTTTATTTAGTGGCAGACCTTACACGAGTGCGGGTTTAGGAGGAAGGGCCGCGGTGCCGGGAGCTGCCGCCGCCTCTGAACCCCGCGGTGTTATCACGGACCAGCGCTGCCCCCGGTGCTTTTTGCCTTGGCGGGGCCCGGGGCCGCTCTCGGCCCTTCCCTCCTCCTTGGGGGAGGACGTGGGGGGAGGTTCGAGCCGAAAGGAAAGTGGAAAAAAACAAACCCGGAGCGTAATGACTTACACTTGTGAAGCGCGGCACGGCAGCCTGCGAAGGGGCTGTAATGAGAGACAGCGCTGATTAGCGAGGCACGGACCGGCAGCGCCCCGGGTCGAGTAGTTGGTGCAGGTGAACTCGCGGTGCCGGGTCGGGGCCGCTGCAGGGTCAGTGTGTTACTGCTTATCCTGCGCTGGGCTTGGCACAAATCCGTGATTTACTGGGGAACCATTTACATTAATGCAGGAACTCCAACTTTGGTAATGAATATCTCTATTTTTCTTTGTAGTTCTTCCGTCTTGTGAATGTATAAATCTTCACGTATACCTTTTCCATGTATGTCTACACTCATTGATGTAATTTCTAGTTAAATGTTATCCTTTAGTGCATTTTCATGGTGAAAGGTCAGAGAAAATTTGTTCATCCTGAAACACTTGTCATAGTGTTAATTTGGTTGCATACTTAGTTCTTCAGCATATACAGAGGTCTATGAAATGCAACAAGTTAGGAGATGGATGTTGTATCTGCACAGAATTGAACAGAAAGTTCAGAATAGAAGAAGACATAGGATTTGGAAACAAATGGAGTTAAAATATTTACTGCAGAATAAAAGGGTTTGCAGAATGTAGGTAGCAAAAAAAAAAAAAAAGTGAGCTGCCCTGGGGCAAATGAAGTAAGGGAATGCACAGGAATAGCTTTGGCTTGTCCTTAACTGGATTTAGCTCTTCTATTTAAAATTCTTCTATGTGTGACATGATGCCTGTTTTCAGTAAATATTTGTTAAGCAGTTTCAGCAAACAAGAAACCATATTGTTTTGATCAGAAATCCTGTTCAATTCCCCATCGGAGTCGTGCGTATCAGTTCTCAGTGTGACAAGGCCTTGTGACCCGTGCAGACACTGTAACATTCAGTATCATTCCCTGCACATTCTCCCAGACCTCCGCTCTGTTTTGAATAGCTCACTTCTTCTCAGGACTGCTTTTGTGTAGACAGTTGTTCTGGCGTCAGTCCAAGTTGTGGGAGTCGTATGTGCGCATGATTTGGAGGTGTATTATGTGGAGTTGCTTCCAGCAAGTGGCCAGTGAGGCCACATGGCCCTAAACAAAACTGTTTTGTTTTGCTGCTCATGAATTGCAGTGGGCAGTACCTGCTTCTGCTCGGGAGTTTATGTGTAATGTCTTCATATTAACTCAGGAGCTAGTTTTTCCTCATGTTAAATCTTTTGCTTTAGGTGTTAAAGAAAATTAACCTGACCTCTTAAATTTTGTTGGTGTTAGAGTTTTATTTGTATGTTTTCAATGGTTTAGGTTTTTGAACAATCTCTTTTGATGAAATGTATTTTCTGAATTTTTTTTGGGGAACCATCTGCCCACTGCTACAAATCTTGTAATGAATGCGTTTAGAATCCTTTTGGAGTGCTTTATGTGTGTGTATTCTATTGCAGACACCTTATATTCAGTGTATAAGTGTGAGGTGCATTTGGAGAAGTAATTTGTTAAGAGTTGCCATTTTCTTCCTGTGTAATATGTAGGGAAACTGGGAAATGATATGTTTGTGGAAGACTAAAAGGCCTGGGGTTCTATAAACCACACATTGATTTATTTTGTGTAACTTAACTAGTCTCTGTGTAAGTCCCTTTGGTTTTTTACCAAACTGTGCCTCTTAATTTGTGAGGGTTGTGTTGTGGATTCCAGTTGTCCAGCTCATATGAAATCTGGAATTAACAAATGGCTGCAGTCTTGCCCAAGTCTTTAGGAGACTACAGAATTACTGTACTGTAGTAGGTAAAAAAATTGGAAAAGAAAGGACTTGGCGAATGTGCTCCAGTAACCTGTGATTAACACACACCTGTGCTTTGCTTTTGACCATAAGAGCTACAAAGTAGCTGTACTGAAATAAATGGTTCTGTAGCATGTGACTGTGGTGGTCTCCACCCCCAAATGTCACATAAAGAATGTGCAAACAAACCAAATGTGTTCTCCCACCCAGTGTCTGCCAGGGTTGTACGTGCAGTGACGTGCTGTCAGGTACTGAAATGTGGGCAATGATTAACTTGCAGGTGCTCAGCACAGCACAGGATCCAGCTGAAGGGGTTTGCTGGTGAATGGACAAGGCTGTTAATACCTAAACACAAGGGCATATGTACCTGTACATTTATTTATTTCCTAGTCACATGCTATGAGTAGCTTGAGGATTTCAAATCTGAGAAGGTGTTTGAAGTAAGGTGTCTCTTATACAGACCACTGCTGAGGGGCAGTACTTGAGGGCATGGCCAGGAGGGAAATCCAACAATTCCCTCCAAAACTGGACAAGAAGCAGAAGTTTTATGTTCTTGACAATAAAAGAAAGAGAATTTTTGCCTTTCATGTTAGATCTTTATGTATACAATCAGAAATGTAACTGGACAGGTGCCCTATACTGTTGTTTTTATTTTTTCCCTTTCTGTATGGAGTTAATTACCCCCATAGTCCTCCTAACACTGCAGTTGTAATCAATGTGTGGTACAACTTGTATTCAAAAAGGTTTACTGGCTTTTATACCACTGAAGCTTATATAAACTTGGAAAGTTGGCAGGAATTATCTGGACCTGTGTGGTTTCTGTAGAACAAGAACAGCTGCTGTGCTGGTGTCATCTCTCAGACATTTTAGTTGTTAAATAGAAGTACAGCTTTCATTAGTTTATTTTAAACATTTCACCATTTTCCCCAAATAAATTTTTGGGTTTATAACTGGGAGAAGAGTATGCCCATTACACTGTCTGTACCGTATCAGGAATCCTACTGATTTTACATTAGATGTAACAGTAGTGTTCCCTCAGAAGGTTTTGTCTGGACCATCACCTGAAGACCACAAGGAACTATTTGGACAGCCTGTATTTTGGGGGTGACTGACTGCTTCTGCCTGTGTGTGGCCCTAACTGATGCATCCACAGAGCAGGTGGTTGGGAGAGGTGAGAGACGTAGGGATGGCAGCACCACCACGTTTTACTGACATGTGCTTATGATGGGGGCACCCCAAGCCTGGTGTTCCCCTGTAGATAGTGAGGTTCTTATGTGAGTATGAACCCTAAAAAACCTGGCCTACAGAAATAGGTGCTGTCAAAAATAGCATTTGTTGATGCCCCACAGATAAGTAATTAATATCTTAATTAATAATTAATATCTTGAGAGAAAAAACTCTCTCAAGTGAGTTAATTGCTGTGTGGAGGGTTGATCTTGCAAACTTTCCCATGGAAGTTTGGATTTTGACTGCACTTAGCAATTGCAGGTGAAAAGCTGAAAAGACTGAAAAGAAGATAATTTTAGGACAATAGATCTTTTTGTCTACCATTGAATGTGTTAAATAACCAAGAAAATAAATGTGAAACCAACTTGGAACACTTCAATGATGTATTAAATTGTGCAGCACTCCTGAATGAAATAATCATGATTATTAAGACAGTGGGCTGAAAGGATCATCATTTTAATATTAAGGAGGAAATGTGACACCATTCCAGGCAGATAAAATCTTGAACCTGCTGCTGTTCCCTGACAGTGATGACTCTGAGAAAGGGGGAAATGGGTTGTGTTTGTCTCAACTGGGGTGGTATTTCTCTTGTGTTTCATTTGTTCTTAATGTATGCTTTTTTTGAGGATAAACTTCTTTATTCTGAGGGAGGCAGGAATATGTTGAAAGGATGAGAAGATATGAAGAAGTTGGGCAGTGGTTGCATTAATTTTGCACTGGGTATGCATGCTGGATCTCATTTTTCTTTTTCTGAGTCTGCCATTACACTGAAAAAGACTTAATTTCAGGGCTAGTTTCAGAAAACACATCTTTTTTATTTAGTAAGTTATCCCTTAAGTTTGCTTGGCTTTGTATAGCCCTTTTAATATTCTTTACAGAAACAGCACAAATATTTATGGAAATAGTTTTCCTTTAGATAAAATCTAGATTTTAAAAAATCATGGAAAAATTCTTTGTGTTTATTGTTACAACTCTTGAATAACAACTTATTGTTGTTATTCAAATTCAGAAGTTTGAAGAGGATAGAGTTAAATGAATCTCAAATTGCTGGCTGTATGAGTCACTAAATTGAGAACATAAATACTCATATTCTTTGGAAAGAACCTCTCAACATTGTTTTCCTGCATAGTGTCAACTGCAAAACACAATACAGTATGTTTAGCTTACAAGTAGTTGTATTTGCATTTGAAATCATAGTTTATGATACAAGTCAGATAACTTTTTGCCCTTTTTTGCTTGTCCAACTGACTAAAGGCTAGCACTAAGTCTCTAGTAGAAGCTCCATTATTATACTGTTGTGTTTTGTGTGCTTGCTTTGTTGAAAAGAAATAAAAA